ATCAAAAACTGTCTTATACAAGGTATCCTTGGAGTCTACGATCACATTTGATAAGAAATGCCAAAAAAAATTAAGAGATCGAGGTACGCATGTGTTAGTTTATTTCATTACAAGATCATTAGATCTTAAGATACGTGATATAATAAATATGTAGATCATAACAAGAAAAACAATATCACGAATACTACATGTTCATTCTCGTCAGACATTCATTATGAATTAACTAAAGTTTACGCAAATGTACTGAGAAAATAAATATACTCATGAGGAAGAGTTCCTCTGTGACTCAAAACTAGTAGAGCTTTTCTCGGTATATTTAGAGGAGTACCTTGTGATTTTTAGTTGATTTATATTCATTCTCACATCACACCATCCCAGGGCGTCGACAGCCCGTCGTAAATCACAGCCAAGTCTCGCATAACACACAACTATGTAGTATCGCGAGCTAATTGCTACTGATTTACATTTCAACTCGAGACCCCAGCATTTGTGACTTTTACATATAAATTACTTCTTATTCGGTGACTTTTAATGTAGTCTGACTTCATTTTCGGCTCATTAAACTGTATTGATGAATATTGAGTGGTGGTTACATGGAATTATTGTTCTTTTAAGGGCCGATTATTCAATAATTAGTTAATGCTTAACTGTAGAATAAAATTGTCATTTTAGTATGGAAGAAATGTCAAATATTCAAAGTTATTCTTCAGTTTAAATGTATCTAGCGTTGGAAAAATCAGCTCTTAGGATTATAAAATTGCTGTGACTGATAAAGACCCAGTCACAGTTGTGACTGCCAGGTAAAGGTCCTAAGGTTTGATTACTGGGTCGTGCAAAGTATAGTTGGTGTATTTTTGTGTAATAACACGATTCAGTGTTTAGGTTAGGTTAGGTAAGTATACGGAAATAGGCAAAACCCCCATTGCATGGAACTTATTACATACTGGCGACGATAATATTCCGTAAACTAAAATGATATACTTAACCAATTTTAGCGGGAAAGTAGATAATATGTTATTAGTTCAGTCGATATTTCTAACTGCATCCAGAATATTACGAACTGTAGATGTACCTCTAGTTCCACTGATAGCTGTCGTAGTATTCGTAGTACAAGGAGACTACGGCGGCGTAGCGGATTCGGTAGCCGCTACGTCGTAGCATTAATCGTAGCTCGCACAAGGACAAGAACGATTTAACTCAACTTTATGTTTTCAGCTAGAAAATGGTATAGAAGATTGAACTAGATATTTAGGTGCTCTATTTAGATCCTAGACCGAACTTATATTATACCGAAATTTGAAATATCGGAAATAAATTAAATATCTCTTTTTCGCCCCAGTATTCACCATCATTAGGTACAATTTGCTCAAATTAATGATTGTGATTCTTAATATTAATTATTGTTCATAATTACATTACTGCCTCGTTGGCCGAGTGGTCGCAAGTGCGACTGCGGGGCAGTCTGTCGGGTCTCGGGTTCCTTAGTCTGGGAAACGTTTTTATTTTATATTATGCGTTTTTTTTTATTTTAGTAGTGGCACGGAGTCTACAATTGTGCCCTGTATATAGCAATAAGCTCATCCCTTTTGGAGTAGCATGGGACTCAAAACATAAATGGTAAAACGTGGGTGATGCATTGTACAGTGGCAATAAGTGTCGAAATGTGCACCTCTGCCTACGCTTTCGCGGATAAAAGGCGTGATGTTATGTTGTTTTTTTACAACATTAAAAGTTAGTTACTAAATAGGGAATAGGTACTAAAATAAATTCGATGTCAACTAACTAGAAAAGGTGGTAAATACAAAACACGGTCGAAGAAAGAACACATTTATTAATCTCTCGGTATATCTATACTTATAATAAATCTGTAGAGAGGTCAATTCTGTACATAAAATATATTTAAAAAATAACTATCAAGGGGTGGTTAGGGATCGCTACTGATGCCAAAAATGCAATCAGAAAAATTTTTGTCTGTCTGTCTGTCTGTCTGTATGTTCGTTATGGAAACAAAAACTACTCGACGGATTTTAACGAAATTTGGCACAATTATTCTTTATACTCTTGGGCAGGTTATAGTATACTTTTCATTATGCTACGATCAATAGGAGCAGAGCAGTGAAGGGAAATATTGGGAAAACGGGAGAAGTTACTCTATTCATTAACTTAATACACAAGGAGTTACACGCTGACGGAGTCGCGGGCACAGCTATCTATACTTTTCTGCCGGAAGTCACTATTCCACGCGGACGAAGTCGCAGGCAAAAGCTAGTATAGCAATATATCTCTTAACTACAGCTACCACTCACGTATATACAAACATATAAATAGTACATTCACTTACATAAAACTATATACAAGTAAGAATCCTCTCCATCGATACACTATATCTAAATACGGAATGTTCAAAACTAAATGCATTAAAGACAAATATCCCTTGATAAATCACTCAGGTATCACTAAACATATAAATATTGAGATTGTTTGAAAAACCAACCAATTTGCCCCTTTGTAAAATTCAACAGAGAAAAATGTACTCGAATTTTAAAAACTGAAATGAGATGCTTATTTGTTTATCGGCACACGCTAACTAATTTCATCAGGGGCAGATTTTTCAATGATCAGTTAATTCTTAACTATAGAACAAAATTGATATTTGACAGTTTTCAGTATGGAAGATGGTCAAATATTCAAAGTTGTTCCCCAGTTAAAATTTATCTTATCAAAAATCGGCGTATATTAAATGGCTTACAATAAAAATAAACTTAAATAAATTTACTTAATCATACGTTTATTTACAATTATTTTATAATCATGGCTATTGAAATTGTTTTTGAGATTCTCGAGCAAAACCATTTTTGATTTTTTTAATACATTATTTCTCTCTAAAATACTAAAATTATTTGGTAAAAACACTACGTCTGAATAAATCAGTGGCAAATAAAATCGTTATTCAATTTAAATAATATTCAACAGAGTTTGAATTCTACGCGATACATAATAAGATACAAAGCTAAAATTTATGCTGTTATGTGAACTGATTAATTGTGTGTTTTCTACCAAGTAGGACAAGTAGTAATTATGAGCCCCTAGTGTGACTCAAAACTAATCAAGTTACTCTGTCAAACAGTTATGTGAATAAAACTCTAGAGGTAGACAGACGGACCGCATTTCAACTGCAATCCAACGGCAAATTCCAGTTCAGATGAATTTTGAATCAAATTCATAATCAAATAGTTGCAAACCAAACGTGCAGACCGATTTCAGTTCTATTGAAGTCATGATCAAACGGTTGCAGACCAAATATGCAGACTGATTTCAGTTCTATTGCAGTCGTGACCATATGTTGCAAACCAAATGTGCAAATCGGTTGCAATTCTATTGCAGTCGTGACCAAACAGTTGCAGACCAAACGTGCAAACCATTTGCAGTTGTATTGTAGTCGTGTAAACTGCAATTTGCGGTTGAATTGCAATCGAAATGCGGTCCGTCTGTCTAGAGCTTAAGCTGATAAACACAATTTATTCGCTGAAACTTTTCTCTAAAGTATGTAGTATACACTATAAGTACAATATTTACAACTTTGTCTACCAAATATGTTCTGAGAAATAAGTTATTTCTAAGTTGCATTTATATTGTGGCGCTTGATTTACTATTATGTAATTGAAGTGATAGAAATACTTTTAAGAAATAATTCTAATTAATAAAGTCGTGTTGTAGCAGGTATTTGTCAATAAAGCATTGATAACCATACATTACAGTTTTCAAAAACCACATATATATATATTACATATTATATACAAGGTCTAGTTTTAAAACCGTGTCATTTCTCGGGGGCTTGTAGGGAATTTAAAAATTTAAATGATTTTAAAAATTTCGGGCCAATTGTTAAAAATGCGGCTATAATAAATCGTTTAAGTTCGACAGTATTTCAGAATAAGCGACAGCAATGTTTCTTATTGGAGTTTTATGGAATTAGGAATATTATAAAATTACGTTTTTGAGTTAGTGTGTGATAAGCCGCGTTATAAAGCTAGTTAGAAGACGGCTGCGTGTACTTCGCTCTTACGGATTTCCGTAATTTCAGAAAAATTAAAAATATTTACCTACAATTTTTTTATTGATTCGGACTCAGAATCGATATCCGAGTTACTTCCTAGAAAATGACGCGGCTTTAAAACAACATCTTGTATATTGGCCTGAAATAAACTGAAGTTTCTTATAATAATATTTTTCCTAGGCGTGTTTACCGTATTTAGGCTACCTACCATGGCAAAAATAAATCTAGAGACGTAAAATTTTGAAATTGACAACATTAAAGAAGGAATCAAACCTTTTAGATGCAGCAAGTATTTAAGGTCAACAATGACGAGATGAATTCATTGAGCAAACAAACATACATGACTAAGTACCATTTATCAATACTTAGGTATAATTACACTACACAAGCCTTACTCACTAATATTTACAAATAAGTATTGCTTTGATACACAAATCAAAATATAAATTAACAGTTTGAATGTGTATTGTTTCATAATAAGCTTTAAGTCTAAAAGAGCAAAGAATATTTTTGTAAAATCATACATTGAATAGAAAAGACTTCGAAAACTCAACCGTAATTTGTTACCAACATAGTTTAGTTTTGATTATAGTCGTTAATATCTTAAAGTTCCTTTTGTATCTAGCTCGTAAGTATACATTAATCAATATGGTAAACATTGCTTTAAAGGAACAATAGGGTAGTTTCCAGGGTAAGAAAATTAAAAATCTAATTAGTCCGTCAGTTACATAATGAAAAAATATCAGACACGTATTTTTTATTTTCTCGTTCAAAGTTACAATACTTAAATAAAATGGAGTTAAGTTTAGGAGTAGGAGGTCATTACGTCACAACGTGCTACATTTTGTAGCACGCTGTGACGTCACACGACATTTCAAATCATTATATCGTCGAAAGCATTTAATATTGTAAGAAAAGAAAAAATACGTGTCAAATGTTTTAAAATAATTTACCAGACGGACATTAAAATAAAATTTAGGAAAATACCCTATTATTGAAGTCATGAAAAATTTGTGTTCAAACAAAATTAAATTCAGAAGTATGACGTTTAAAATAGTTTCATTGACTATAACATTCAGCAGCTAATTTTCCAACAAAAACATTATGATCGCTTAAAAACCTATGCTCTTAGAGATCCTTACATTCATAAATGTTCATCTTAAAACTAGTTACAGTACCGGTCGATAAAAATTTCACATCGACTGCTGGAAAAAGGTAATTTTGAGTGATAATGATCGTTTAGGCGTACTACCACATTACGTCATTTGATCAATGCAAGCAGTCGTCAAAAACGATGCGCGGCTTAACATTACCGTTTCGTGGACAGTTCTCATTGTTTCCAAGCAATATGCAAACATTTGTCATTTAATTTTGTAGGCCGCCTTTTATTTGTGAAGGATGCATGCATTCATCAAATGACGCCACGTGGACAGTTACCCTTTTTTCTGTACAAAACTTTTTCTTTTTCGATCTTTTATTAATCGAGGAGAGTGTTTGCTTATCATAAACAGTATACGGAGAGACTTGGTTGATTGTCCCTTATCAAAAGTTGATGTGCAATATTCATCGCCGGGTATTGTAAATCTTAAACCACTGACTGTATTTAATCTTATTATAACATTATTTACTTTGTATAATATTAGACCATCTGTAGTCCTTTATTGAGGCTCTCTACGTGTTCCTTCGCTTTCATGCGGAGTGCTGCGATGGAAGATGACCGCGGGTCCGGGGGGGCGCCACTTGTCGCTGGCGCTGGTGGCGTGAGGTAGCTTGGGTAGCCAGACGGGGGATGGCTCAGGAAACCTGAGGAACATTGGTGCTTTATTTAGTACGCTATAACCGCCCATGGTATAGTTGATTAGGCAATTAGATGACATTTGTTGTACCTATACGATTTGGTTTAATGTGGCAATCAACTTAATTTAATTTTTTTAAACCATTATTTATTCAGAGATATAGCGAAAGAGTAAACTATGCTTAGAGAGAGCAAAGAGCTTTAATTGTTTGTCAGAAAGGCAAAAAAGTACCTATAGTTTTTATCTAAAATACATATATTATGTGAAATATGTCTCTCCATACCTGGTAATGCAGTGAGTAGTGGAGGTGCTAGCCAGGGATCTACGGGCAGCCCCAGCCCTCCAAGCCGAGGTATGCCACCGCCAGCCCCGCAGCCGTACTCCGACAAACCAAGCCGAGCCGCCTCCATCTTTTCCTGGCGACGCCATTTAGCACGACGATTTTGAAACCATACCTGCAAAGAAGAGAGAAAAATTTAATAAGTACTTTGAAGACACTTTTATAATCATAAATGCTTCCCCAAGTTCAACGTAATTTAAACAGTGTTAAAGCAGTTATCGTGAAAATGATGGTCTGTAACGAAATTTGTTTATCGGTATTAACGTGCCACCTATTAGAGCATCAAAGTTTACGAGTCACGGCAATAAAACCCCTAAAAGGTTTGCGCTTAGACAATAAATCAGAGAGTGAACACGTCACTTATAAACAGTTTGTGGAGGCAGACATAACAAAACTAACTTTGAATACGGCAAAGCATGAAACACGAACTCAATCACATAAATGGTGTACCATCATTGTGCCATCCACCCTAGAGGTTCCGTCGCGGCATCGCAGTATAAATTCTATGTTAATAAAAATAAAGTTTACTTTAGATTATTCATGGCCAAGATGTATGGCATGAATGTGGTGTCAAATTGTAGTGTGAAATGATATATTCAGCTGGGGTCGGTTGAACGGTAAAAATACGCACGGTTCGCGTGACCGTTTCGATTTCAGTGCAGGAGACAGCAGGTTAGGGGCATGCAATGTTTGATAGCTTACCTGTCACAAGTATTAAATTTGTTCAACAGTGAAATATCAGAAATCGTTACGTTGTCGTCTGTTGTCAACTCTACTACTTCGTAGACAGAAATGTCATTTAGTAGCGAACTCATAAACTTGTACTCGTGTAAATAGAGCATTTCTCATGTAGCATATTTGTGACAGCCAAATTTTGACTTTTGAGTGGATTTGACGTGAGTATTTGACTCAGAGCTTCATATATTATGTACTTACTCGATAAACTTACGTAACATACAGTTAATACTAATTACGTTCTTAATTTAAATTTATCTGATACATAGCAATAACCCAGACTAAAAATCGCGGGTTACTCACGTGAATATACTAAGAAAAGCTCTACTAGTTTCGAACCACAGAGGAGTTCCTCTTCATGAGCAGCATGCGCGGTCGTGGCGATGTCGCGAAGCCTACTGAACCCTCCTCTATGTTAGTTAATTTAGTATATCTCACGATAGTTATAATAATTATACAGACGTTGTGAAACAAGGCCTTAATCGCATAACCTAATATAAGCAGCTACAAATCTTTGTCTAGTCTTATTCATGGTAGGATAATTGAAGTAAAGAGAACTATCTTAAGACGGTTTTCTCTACGG